GTGTTAATGAATAGAGGACTCCATCACATCCTCCTTCAACCCCCCCTTCCCCCCGCGGCTCTCCCTCACCCCCCGCGGCTCTCCCTCACCTACATAGTTCACCACAGTCTCGCTGGTGTGACTCCCTGCAAGAATTATGACACCACTACAAACGCCTGGCACTTGTCACACACACACACACACACACACACATCCTTGCTGGTTTAGGCTGAAAGTGAAAAGGTGGCGGCAGGGAGCAATTCCACGGTGCCAGAAGGTAAACCCACAACACCACTCACTTTTTATACACTCCGTCGCCCTACCTGGTCTCCCCAACCCCGCCCACCCTCACCTGATCCCTCCCCCCACCCTAGAAATACTATCCCCAATATCTTTTAGTCATATGTACACCACATTAAGGACACGTTGTTTATTCGGTGACTACAGTGTTTCAAGAAAACCAGTTTAGAAATCGTTGTAGGAGCGAGTCGCGGAAAGGGAAAGCCGAAGTCTTTCAACAATTTGTTCGTATCCGTGGACGAGTTGTCAACTTTATTCTGAGTTCGTGAGCAGTGTGGTGGGGATCATGAGAGAGACGCAGCGCTGGTGAGCTACATGATGAAGTTAAAGGCTGTTTGGTGTAGTTCAGTGTTATAGGTGGAAGGCTAAGCATGTATCCGCTGGTAGTGTGTACGGGAAGCCAGGGAGTGTGGCCGAGGATAAGGCTACCCTGATTGGCCCACGGAGAGACTCCTCGACCCCAGCAGTGAACGGTTCCCTGCAACCCCTTGTTCATCTTCCTATACTCAACACCTTCCTTTATGGCGGACATGTTCTCGGTCATATAAAATAAAAAATATAATAAATTAAACAATTTCCTGATAAGATGATCTATAAGAGCGGATGTAGTGATCTCAGAAGGATGACAGCGGGTGTTAACAAACAAAGCCAGGGTAAGGCTGAGAATCACGTGGCATTCCTAGCTGACTGCCGCCACACATACCAGCAGCACCAGTCGTTCCATCCTCCTCCTCCCGACCCTTGATGAGTCTTGATTATTATCTCTCGAATAAAAACAATGAAACTATTGATAACATGTATAGGTTTGAAATCAAGATTTATCTTATCCACGCTTTCATTGTGGATCTACATGAAATACATACATATATATATATATATATATATATATATATATATATATATATATATATATATATATATATATATATATATATATATATATAAGACATCGCATGATGAGCAGGATCTCTCCGTGTTTTGCTTCATGGTAATCAAAAGTATTCACTACCTGGAAAAGTTACACTCGCCTCCAGCTCGACACAAATTACCGTCATTCACCGGACGCCTCCACAAGCGGGTTCAGTGAAACACTCCCATACAATTCTAAATTTGTTTCACCTCTCGTTAGTTTCCTCACAGCTACACGGGTTCACGGGACACACCACCTCCCCAGAGTAAACAGTTGCTATATATTACCACCTATCAAGTCACCGATAAGGGGAGGATGTGGGTCCGGTGACGATAAGGTGCTCCCTGACACAGGCCTCGTGGCTAGAGAACAATGACGGGACTTTGAGCTCATCGTGTAGGTCACAAACATCCTGAAGGTGCCACAGTATTACCAGAACACCACATGGACGGAGCAAGACGCGATACTACTGGCGGAGTTGGATTGTACTTACACACGTCATCGACAAACATCAAGAGACTGAGATAATAACCTCGAAAAATTTTAGTAAGAAAATAAAAATAAGAAAGTGGAATAAGAGATATGAGGATGGGGAGTAAAATAGGAGTGAAATAACAGCTACAGGTAACCTCTTGGTGTGGACATAAGGGCGTCTTGGGCCGGTACATTTTATCCACAGGAGGAGAGCTCCCACCAGCCAGGACTTACTTCCCCTACAACATGTTCCACTACCCTCCCTCGTCTCTCAAACGTGTTCTACTTGATTATGTCCCTCACTGTAATTCATTCAAACACGTTTACCTTTTCCGACAGCAGACCGTTTAACACACACACACACACACACACACACACACACACACACACACACACACACACACACACACACACACACACCTCTCAAATATTCCATGTTTTTCACTCTTCTATCAGGGAACCTCACCACACAAACCAATCCTTTCCCCCTACAGTTAGTTACCACCATCAGGAGAGCAGTGGCGTGAGAGGTGATCGACATATCTGGGCTACGCAGAAGAAGGAAGAGTAAAGGTGACAGTGAGAGATGGGAGGGAAAGGAGGATGGAAGAGGGAAGAGTCACATATAGGTGTAGATAATTGTGAGAGGAGGGATAATGAAGAGAAGGAAAGGTGACACAGAGGACGGAAGTGTCACATGGTTAGATTAGGTTGGGTAGTTGCGTGTAACTGTGGGAGAGAAGTGTCACATAGGTAGGAAAGTGTCACATAAGTAGGTAACTGTGGGAGGGAAGTGTCACATAGATAGGTAACTGGGAGGGAAGTGTCAGGTAGATAAGTGTGGGAGGGAAGTGGCACATAGGTAGGTAACAGTAGGAGGGAAGTGGCACATAGGTAGGTGCCTGAGGGATATATTTCAAAGGTAGATAATTTATAGGTACACGGAGGGAGGGACTTCGCAGGTAGAGAGCGGTGAGGGGGGAGGGAGGGAGGGGTGGAGGGGGTGGGGGTGACCAAGGAGAGACTACGTCATAAGGTGAGGAGGAGCCAGGCTGTGAGAGAAGGGGGGGGGAGGAGGGAGGAGTTGAGACGGGAGGATTTGGTGAGGGGGGTGGTAATTGTTGATGGGGGGTAGTAGGAGGTGGGAGATGGGGAGGAGGGAGAGGGTGGTGGGGATTAATAGATGGGGAGAAGGAGGTGCTGGGTAGGGGAGATGGGAGTGCTTGGGGGGAGGAGGATTGGGAGTGGGGGGAGGGGAGGAGGGGTGTGGGGGAAGGGGAAGAGAAGAGAGGAGGGCGGGGAGAAGAAGAGAGGGATGTGGGGGAGGGAAGAGAGGAGTATAGATGGGGGTAGGGGAGGAGTGGGGGTAGGGGAGGTGAGGTTGGTGGGTAGTGAATAGGTAGGAAAGGAGGAGGGGGAGAGATAAGGTAGTTGGGATGGTAGTAGTAGTAGTAGTAGTATCAGGGAATAGTGGTAGTATCAGGGGGTAGTTGTGGCAGTGGATTAATAATAGTAGTGGTGGTGGTGTGTAGTAGTGAAAGTAATGGCAGAATAGTGGTCACGCGAGCGAACAGTAGTAGTGGCAAAGAGGCGAGAGGTACTGGCAGGGAGCAGTGGCAGAGGGACGGGGTACTGGCAGGGAGCAGTGGCAGAGGGACGGGGTACTGGCAGGGAGCAGTGGCAGAGGGACGGGGTACTGGCAGAGGGACGGGGTACTGGCAGGGAGCAGTGGCAGAGGGACGGGGTACTGGCAGAGGGAAGGGGTACTATGCTGGGAGGGAAGGGAATAGTGGTTATTGCAAGTGGTAGTGATAGTGGGAGGGAAGCAATGCTGGTAGTACACCGTTGTGGTAAGTGACGAAATGTGGGTGGGGTTATGTGGGTGGATATACAATAGCAGTGATGTGGGTGGGGTTATGTGGGTGGATATACAATAGCAGTGATGTGGGTGGGGTTAGTGTGGGTGGAGGAAGGAGGAAGAGTGAAGGCGAGGATTGTGGTAGAGAATAAACACAAGTATTTTACGAGTCCTGAAAACATTAAACACTGTACTATGGAACAAGAGAAGTATTACAGTGAGACAGACTTAGTGAGGTAAGCTGAGAAACAAAAGACACCAGGTAAACAAGCACACCACACATGATGAGGTGTGAGTGTATAAGACCTTGGTGGTACAAGAGAAACTGGTGTGGTGGTAGAGGTGGGGTGGTGGAGGTGGTGGATGTAGTGGTGGTGGCGGATGTAAGAGTGGTGGTAGTGGTGGAGGTGGTGGTTGTAGTGGTGGATGTAGTGGTGGATGGTGGTGGTGGAGGTGGGGTGGTGATGATGGAGGAGGAGGAGGAGGAGGAGGAGGAGGAGGAGGAGGAGGAGGAGGAGGTGGTGGTGGTGGCCAGACTCGTGTGAGCCACAGGTGGTTGTCACTCACTGCTCGCCCTCCCCCTAACACTCTCTACGGCCACCGTCTTCAAATGTAAACAACGACCAGGACTACAATGTGCATTTTATTCGTCCTCATGAGATCTGTTTTAACAATGCTGTGGTTTAGTCGACCATGGTCTCTTAAAAAAAAAAAAATTATAAAAGAAACTGACCGCCTCAGGTATAACTTTATTTACGAAACACTGAACATTGTGATCCATCTTGGCACAGTTACTATCACCTTAGTATCCGTGGCAGCTAAAGGAGGAGACAAAACAAGCTTCAGGTCAGCCATTATGCCCGTAATAGATAAGTGAGGAGGAGTTATAGCAAGCGGTCTCACATAAACTAGTTTCAGTGTATATTTGATATGTTCCTCTACAGGTCCGACCACATCCTCAAGCAACTCTGCCTTTTACTTTTGTAGGACATAACTTTGTTTACTTGTCAATAAACCATTAAACACTTTACACATGAGTGATAAAAATCTTTCAGTGATAACGTAAGATACCTAATTCCTGAGGGATAATTTGCATGTAGTGTAAAAGTAAAAGGTAACATCATTTTATTTTTATGTGGGACAACGCGATACACCTGGCTGTTTAATGGCAGTCCCCGTGGCATGCTTAATGCACCTGTATAGTTTATCTGGCACAACCGACCAACAAAGACAGTCAGTCCCACGCACCCTTCTTGATAAGCTGAGAACCCTACCATGCATCGATAAACTGGTTAATATCCACAACCAGCTCCCACACCACTACCGAGTAGCGCCCCAGCAAAAACAGCGTCTGCAGGCCAAGTTATTCTATCCAGGTTCATATCCCACAACAAGTGATTCGTCATGTGACCCTAAATACACAGGTGTGTGGCAAGAGGCGGCTACACACACAGAAACACAAGCGGAGCAACAACTTACCTTCAAGTTTCATGCCGACTTCGAGGCACTTTTGGAAGCGGCAGTAAGGACAGCGCTTCCTCTGAGTCTTGTCTATCTGGCAGGATCGGTCAGCCACACAAGTGTACACCTTCTTGTTCTGTACCGTCCTCTTGAAGAAGCCCTTGCAGGACTCGCAGGTGAGGAGGCCGTAGTGGTAGCCAGACACTTTATCCCCGCACACCGGACACAGTTCCTCGATGCCCTCCTTTGTGTCTGGCATGTCCGACAGCGAGGTGTAGTCCAGCGTGGTGGTGGCTACACCGGGAAACAAACCAGAGTCCATTAGTGTTGGGGTCAACAAGGAATTGTTATTGTTACTGATAACATTACTGGTAATAGTGTTGGTAGACACGGTTGAGTTAACCACCCCTCCACCGGTGGTAATGTGTGTATAGGTGGGCGAGAGGGCACTAGTAGCAATGCCCACTCCCTGACCACTCATGTCTACGGTCATGGGAGCAGCAGAGATTGTCAACTGCCCAAACTGGGGAGACAAGTTGAAATTCTGCACTGATATTGGAAGCTCCATCTCTGAGAGCATCTCGCACAAACCACTACAAATAAATAATTCTCAACTCGGAGGCAAGGTGTACGCACTGAGAGTATCACTGGTATCACTGGTTCACTAGTAGGCTGTAATATAGTAAGCACTGGGAGAGCACACGGCAGAAACGGCGCACATGGCGGTGAGCAACACACACACTGTTGGCTCCCTCGGCTACGACTGTGGTCCCGCCCCGCAACGCTCCGCCAGTAAGAGTGAAAGTTAGAACTGCTGGCTTGGCCTACATTCGCGCCGTAACGGGGTCTATGTTAGCTCTGAGGTAACCAACGTGCGTGCGTGTGTGTGTCTGTGTGTGTGTGTGTAGATGTATGTGTGTGCGTGTGTGTGTGTAGCACCGGGAGGGTGTGTGTGCGTGAGTGCGTGTGCGCGCGGCTCATACATACACACACCCACCACCCGGTCTAGTCACTCTCACACTAACCTACTGACCCACTTACACACAACGTGGGCCGCGCGCTCAACAATGACGTATCCCACACTCTCTATCGCAGTCATGTTTTATGTTTACTCTCATTTTCTACTGATATCTTACTCATTACACAGATTCGCTCAGGGCCGACCCAGCACCAAGCGTAAGGTACTGTAACCCTCTGGACACTCTCACAGCCCAGGTATAAACACGCACACTAAACCATCACCAAATAAACTCAACAGCGCCCTTCTTTCTCGTACAAGGGATGCCATCACTTGGGGGAAGAAAAGTCACTTATTGACCGTATATAAATCAAACTAGTGTGACCCTTATAAGATACATGATCCGCTGGCGTTAGGAGTACATGTAAAGTAAATGTGTATGTGTGTCTCCAGTGGGTCACCGAGTGTGTGTCCCAAAAGGGGCTACGTGGACGTAACATGGACATACGACAAACGAACTTAATACCACGGCAGCAAGAGGTGTGCGACCACGTGGACTGACACTGTTTTGGCCCTAACCTGCAATGTGCGAACTATGCGAGGCGTCTGGTGAAGAAAGTTGGGGTAGGTGGAGGAGGAGTAGGAGGGAGGGGGTGGGGGACGGTAATGAACGAAAGGGAAAACTTAAAAAAGTAAAAGTGTGGCGGGAACCTAGCAACGTCTCTCTCTCCTTCTGTTACACGGTTGCTATGCCGCTTACTGGAAAGGGGACGGTGTGCTTCACGTGTGGGGGTGTCATGAGTGTGTGTATGGTACTTTCACGTGGTGTAGGGGTGTCATGAGTGTGTGTATGGTACTTTCACGTGGTGTAGGGGTGTCATGAGTGTGTGTATGGTACTTTCACGTGGTGTAGGGGTGTCATGAGTGTGTGTACGGTACTTTCACGTGGTGTAGGGGTGTCATGAGTGTGTGTATGGTACTTTCACGTGGTGTAGGGGTGTCATGAGTGTGTGTATGGTACTTTCACGTGGTGTAGGGGTGTCATGAGTGTGTGTACGGTACTTTCACGTGGTGTAGGGGTGTCATGAGTGTGTGTATGGTACTTTCACGTGGTGTAGGGGTGTCATGAGTGTGTGTATGGTGCTGGCACGTGATGTAGGGGTGTAATGAGTGTATGTATGTCACTGGCAATCAAGAGAATCAATTGTCGTGCAGAGAATAATATAGATGTTAAATGATGATCGATATTTAGGCCACGTCAGAAGTTACATTATAATCTAAGGAGTCTTTAAGAATATTTCAGAGGGTGGAAGAGAAACTTTAAACGATGTAGTTGGAGTCTTGTGCATTTCAGGTGAGTCTTACAGGTTCCTTAAGGGGTCCTATGAACTTCAGGTGATGCTACAGGAACTTTGAAGGCTCTGTAGGGAAGTCTCACTGATTTGGTAAAGTAGGAAGAGTCTTGTAATATTATCAAGATGTAGAATTAAGCGAAGGAATTTTCTAGCTATTCTTAGGTGCCTTTAGGTAGCGTGGAATGAAAGGTCTTGCAGGTGTTGTAGATGTCTTACAGGTGTTGTGGAGGATGTCTTACAGGTGTTGTAGAGGATGTCTTACAGGTGTTGTGGAGGATGTCTTACAGGTGTTGTGGAGGATGTCTTACAGGTGTTGTAGAGGATGTCTTACAGGTGTTGTAGAGGATGTCTTACAGGTGTTGTGGAGGATGTCTTACAGGTGTTGTGGAGGATGTCTTACAGGTGTTGTAGGGGATGTCTTACAGGTGTTGTAGGGGACGTCTTACAGGTGTTGTAGATGTCTTACAGGTGTTGTAGAGGATGTCTTACAGGTGTGTCTTACAGGTGTTGTGAGGGATGTCTTACAGGTGTTGTAGAGGGATGTCTTACAGGTGTTGTAGGGGATGTCTTACAGGTGTTGTAGGGGATGTCTTACAGGTGTTGTAGGGGATGTCTTACAGGTGTTGTAGAGGATGTCTTACAGGTGTTGTAGAGGATGTCTTACAGGTGTTGTAGAGAATGTCTTACAGGTGTTGTAGATGTCTTACAGGTGTTGCAGAGGATATCTTACAGGTGTTGTAGATGTCTTACAGGTGTTGCAGAGGATGTCTTACAGGTGTTGTAGGGGATGTCTTACAGGTGTTGTAGAGGATGTCTTACAGGTGTTGCAGAGGATGTCTTACAGGTGTTGTAGGGGATGTCTTACAGGTGTTGTAGAGGATGTCTTACAGGTGTTGTAGAGGATGTATTACAGGTGTTGTAGAGGATGTATTACAGGTGTTGTAGGGGATGTCTTACAGGTGTTGTAGGGGATGTCTTACAGGTGTTGTAGGGGATGTCTTACAGGTGTTGTAGAGGATGTCTTACAGGTGTTGTAGAGGATGTCTTACAGGTGTTTGTAGATGCCTTACAGGTGTTGTTGGGGATGTCTTACAGGTGTTGTAGGGGATGTCTTACAAGTGTTGTAGAGGATGTCTTACGGAGTGTTGTAGATGTCTTACAGGTGTTGCAGAGAGAGAGAGAGAGAGAGAGAGAGAGAGAGAGGAGGTTGATTTCTGAGAACAGTGCACACAATAACAATATCAAAAAGGAAGAGAAGATAAGTAATGAACAAAACACACACACACACACACACACACACACACACACACACACACACACACGCACAAACAAAACAGTCTTCAAAAAATTAATGAATCCAAAACATTTCTTCTAGTTAATTATTTATAATAAGATAAACGTCACTACTGAACGATATAAATTTCATAGCTATTATAATCACTCATTCATTCTAGCTAATTTGCATATCAATGACTGAATTAAAATCCCCAGGTGTTGGACAGGTAATTAGGGTATGTGTCAAGGCAATGTTTTCCCTACTAACACCGTCTTAAAGGTCACGTTCATCACAGCAACACAATATTTGGATAATTATTTAAGTTATGATAATGAAAAATTTCAATTTATCAACAATGTAAATAATTTTGCTTATGGCGTTATTATTATTATTATTATTATTATTATTATTATTATTACTATTATTATTATTATTACTATTATTATTAATTTTATTATTATTACAAAAATCATTGCCGTCATCATGTATTGTGCAGTGAAGTGTGAGTACTGGATGGTGGTGATAGTGGTGGTGATGATGATAGTGATGATGATGATAGTGATGGTGATGATGGTGGTGGTAATAGTGGTGTAATTTAGGCCATCATAATACCGGTGTTGAAACTCCACGGGATACACACGCCCGATTTGACTTACAATCCCCCTCCTTTTTTTTTTCCTCAACGTCAATCTTTTATTTCCTCACATTATGGTCACAATCTACTTCACAAAAAAACCAGGTCATAAAAATAGGTCATAACTCTCAATCTTGTTAAGAGGGAAGGGTTGTTAGTCGGTGAGTAGCAGGTGAGGGGGAGGGGTGGGAAGGGTAGGGTTAGTAATAATTAGGTCAGGAGAGGTCACCTAGGTGTACTTATTGAAGAGGGGAGGAAAATGGTTCATTAGCTACTCGTTGGAGGTATCCTGAAAAGGGAGGGAGGTAGGTAGGGAGGGAGGGATGAAGGAAGGAAGGACGTGAGGAGTAGGAAGGGATGGATGGAGGGAGGGAGGGAGGTGCTTTTCTTGACCTACATTCGCCTCTCCTCACCAACCCCCCTCCTCCTCTCTCCTCCCTGCCCTATCATCATGATGGACACACTTCCTTCCCTCTCTCACACGCCCTTCCCACCACCTCCACCTTCCCTCCCTCCCTCCACGCTTCTTTCCTTCCTCCTCCCTCCACGCTTCCTTCCCTCCCTCCACACGCTTCCTTCCCTCCCTCACACGCTTCCTTCCCTCCCTCACACACTTCCCTCCTCCCTCCACACCTTCTTTCCTTCCTCCCTCCCTCCCCACACCCTTCCTTCCCTCCCTCACACCTTCCTTCCCTACCTCCACACACCTTCCCTCCCTCCCTCACATGTGCTTCTTTTCCTTCCCTCCCTCCCCTCCACACACACTTCCTTCCCTCTCCCTTCCTTCCCTCCTCACCTTCCCTCCCTCTCACACGCTTCTTTCCTTCCCTCCCTCCCTCACACACACACTTCCTTCCCTCCCTCACACGCTTCCTTCCCTACCTCACACGCTTCCCTCCCTCCCTCACACGCTTCTTTCCTTCCCTCCCTCACACACTTCCTTCCCTCCCTCACGCGCTTCCTCCCCTTCCTCACACGCTTCCATCCCTTCCTCACTATCTATCTATAGGTCATATAATTACTAATATAACCCTTACATATGGTGACCTGAATTAATATATTTCCCTATATATTCCACGTTATATTAAGTAGGTTTTATAATATATGTAAGAATAACAACATAATTATCACTTTCTCTCATTTTCTAATAAATTTAGAGAAGTGTATTAACAGAATGACATGATGCACTTCAACACACGTATTGTTGACAAAATTTTAGAAAAACACGAATTGATAAGTAAAAATAAAAGTCCATTAAACACTATAATGTTGCAATACTAATCCGCATTAATTCTGGAAACAAACATATTTACGTTATAAACATTTAAAGATCAATTTCACATCCATTTTGTTTTCTTAGTAATTGTAGATTATTATTATTCCTAAAATCGAGAAAAAAATTAAGAAAAAAAAAAGACGTAAATAGATTTCCCCAAATGGGTTCTCAGGGAGGTGACGTCAGAGGCAGTAATACCAAGAGACTCATCAGCCCTTAACGTCTTTAAGGGATACGATAAACACTAATGACGGACACAGCTCAGAAACTGGACCATCAGGGAACGTCACTACAAAGTTTCAGTCAAATTGAACCGTAAAAGTTTTGGAGTCAAATGATTAAAACTTTATTTTTCTCTTGGTTCGTATCAAAAGAATACTAAAAGGAACAACAGTCGCTTAATGTTTGAGTAAAATTATATCAAGAATGTGAGAGAG